GGTGATGCTAGCTGAAGCAATAACTTTGATTACTAAAAGTTCATTTGCGTAAGGGCATAACGTACGCTTAAACTTCTCCTGGTGGGCAGGGTGGCTCAGGAGAAGTATCAGGATGGATTTTTTTACAGGGCTGGGCCCATAGCCAACACCTAGCATGAGGCTTGGCCCAACATCGCACGAGGCTTCTCATGTGGAATGATTTTGCTGTAGGATATGCTGGACATAGTAGCGTATTTGGAGGTAGTCTTGTTAAAGGTTCTGTTGATTAGAACATGGGTATATATCCATTTTCCTGTTGCTTTTCTTGCTGACATTTTTGGTTAGATAAAAGTTGATCAGCAAAAATAAATGTTCTGTTGTCACTTTAGAATACTAGCTCCATTACCTTCATTTAATCCATATCTTGCTTAAAAGGACAATGCACAGCCTGTCTAATCGTGGATAAGTGTGCTAGCCAACATAACGCATGTGAGCATCTCTGTCTGTAGATGGAGATTAGCAGTGAAGGTTTAGGCTTTTCACAGTGAGTATCAGAAGTGGATGGCTTCTAAAACTGCCATTGCAGAACTGAGGATGGAAGAATAAGCTCCTCTTAACCTGTGAACACTTGCCCTGCAATGAATAGATCTCCTTGTGGAGGCCTTTGCTGAAGAGGAGGTAGACTAAAAGAAGAGTAGTTGTTGACTGTTTTTCTGCCCCTCCTCTCTGAAAATATTTCAATAGGAAATAAAAGTGAATCCAAGCTATCATCATTCTCTTGGCAATAGCCGCGTCCAGAACAAGCAGTTGAGAGAGGCACCAAAGGAAAGTTTAATACTCATCAGTTGTATCGCATGCAACTCCGGAGAGATATTCTCCGGCTGAGTCCTTGGAAGATTGGCACAATAGAAGAAACAGATGTACCAGCATCAAGATAACCTTATTAGCCCTTCAAATATTTCAGTTAAAAGTAATTTCCCATTTGGATTTGCTTTTGTCTTGTGTGTCTGATGTATAACCCACTTCTCAGTGTTTGCTACATGTCTCTTCTTGCACCCAGACTAACGAATGTAATCTTGGTAGCCTTCTGCTAGATAGTCTAGCAACTCCTAATTTCGGTTCACTCCAAACTAGCAGCTGTCACATACATAAGCTTCCCTCCACTCCCAATGTGTTCTGCTAAGCATGTGGGGAAGCTTTATACAGCAGCAGCAACAGAATTTGAACACTTCTGAAAAATATATGATATATTGAAATACAAAATAAAGAAAGCAAGGCAGTGTTTCTCAGGAAAAGAGATTTATAAGATGCTTTAAAAATTGGAGGAGGTACACATTTTTTGTAAAACAGAATGGGCTGTAAAACCTTCAGAGAAGACTCTCAGTAGCTCATTTTCTATGTGCAGCTTCGGAGAAGGAAGAAGCGAAAGGTCATTTTCCCTCTGTAACGTAAACCTCTCAGAGACTGGAGTCAGGCCCATTGCTTGGATCAAGTGCATGCTTCTCCTCAGCCCCGGTGCTTGGTGGGCTCTCTTGTGTCCTCTGCCCATGCTGGCGTAGTGAAGGGGCAATAGGAAAGGTTGCTTCTTTCCACTGCTCTAACTAGATAAGCCTGGTGGCTCTTGACGGCGATTCTAGCATGAAGAAGTAGCTGCAAATAAGTAGGATAAGTTCTACTTTTCTGAGGCATGAGGCGTAGAGGACAACAGCAGAAGACTTACTAACCCTTGGAGCAGGATGAAGGAATAAAGTAATCAATTTTTTTTTTTTTTTTTTTTGCCATGTGCTCCAAGATTCAAGCAGTTCTGGGTGAAAGCAGAGACTGGTCCTTTATGTCCACAAAAGGCATCACAGGTGAAGGTGGTCTTGTCCCCCTGTGGGCTCTAGTTTTATAAATCTTTAGCAACAGTTCTGGTTCAAAATGTCCTCGCTGCTTGTTTCTCTCTCCCATTCTTCTCGCAAAGTTATTTGCTCAGCTGTGCTGTGGGCCAGAGCAGGAGAGTGACCCAGCACAGCCCCAGTGTTGGGGGCTGGCCTGGTTGGTGTTAGTCAGCTCAGTTTCCTGATCACATCACAGGAGAACCGTGCCGAGAGTTTTGCCAGTGCGGTGCAGGTGGGTATGTGCTGCGGCCTAAAGGCAGGAGTTTAGGCTTTAGGTCCTAGGGAGAAAAGAGGGGGAAAAGGTGTGCAGGAGGAAGGCATACCCATAAGCTGGTACTGCCGTCAAAGACTGACTTGTGAAAACACAGCTGAGGTCTTAGGGAGGCGGAAGAAATAAAGCTGGCAGAGCTCGAGAGATGCTCGTTCCAGTTTCCTGTGCAGTTCTTATGTTCCTGCTCTGCCCACGTTCCCTACCGAGAAAACCTTAAAGGGCAGCACTCACACAGCTCTGTTAATAACACATCTGATGTGCGAAGTTATCCGGTATTCAGATTCTTGGCTATTTCTTATTACTCCCTGCAACTGAGTGCTAGCTGTGCTTTTGCTTTATTTGTACTGCTCTGGTGCTTGCGCCTTTGAAGGAGTGTGAGAACGGTGCAGCTAAGTAGCAGGTTGTGCTGGCTCGATAGTTCGTTAGCTTTGTTTTCTGGTGGCGATTTTAACTGGTTAGTCTTCTCCATTTGATCTTATTACTTCCAGCGCTCAACAGGATATTGCTTGGTGCTTGTACTTTATAATGCGTGGTGGTGCTGTAAAGAATCTAAGTTGAACTTTTCTCTTCCACAGGATAAAAAATTTGTGGTTGGAAACAGCCACTTTGATTTTGAAGCTCCTGTTGATGAATCAGAGGAGGGAAAATTCTCATTCATGAGTAAAGAGGTAAATGGGAAAGTGTGATTTGCCTACCGAATATATTCAGTTCCTCTAGTCCTGTTCCAATACCCACACGTGTCCAGAACAATACAAGAAATGTTGGTTTTCCTTAGAGGTTAAAAAATAATCTCTCATGAAGAGCCTCCTTTGGCGCTAGTGGTGAAAGGCAGCAACTCTGGCTGGAAGTGCCTGGGGTTAGTGCCTTAAAGCACTGTGTTTTCTTCCTTGATTTCCTTGTGTGTGCTCTTCATGGATTTATTAAACTGTCCCTGGAGAAATTCTGGATGATTGCTCTTTTTTTCTTCTTTTTTTTATGCAATCTAGTGAAATCATCAAGGATAAAAGATGAAAATTTCAGAGTTCTCCCTCTCCACACACCAATTCGTTACCTTTTCTGTGACGTAGTTTTTTTCATTTGTAAAAATGGGAATGGTAACAGTAGGTTTGTTAACTTACTAGCTATGCCTCTTTCACTCAGGTTTGTTTAACAGAGAAAAGCAATAATATTCAAAATAGTAGTCTAGCTACCAAGTTTAAAGTTAGGTTCACAAATATTATTCTGACTTCAACCTTTTTAAGCATATAAGCTTAGTCTTACAAGCCTAGTAACAAGCTTAGTTTAGAGAACTAATTAGCATTTATGCAGCATTTGAGCCCAGCACGAAACCTACATTTTATAAAGCCCTTATATTTTCTTGGCTCTCTTTCTTTCCCACCTGTAGATATTGCTGCTGTCTTTTTCAACCTGAGCAGCAGCTCATGTCTTGGAGCGTGTGAGCCTTGGGCTTTGGCTGTAATGAGGGGGTTGCACTGCTAAAGATGCAAGAGATTTCCCCTCCGTGTGTTGCAAGTCTGCTGTGTCCATGGAAATAATGGGGCCAGATGGCATGGGAAGGAAGAGCGCAGCAGGCCCAGCAGCTACTTTTACTGAAACTGTACAATACCCTAGCTACTTGGATACTTATAACCAAACCTAAATTAAATTAATGAAAAGTAATGATTCAGTAGGTATTCAGGTATTGCTCTCCCTTGGTACTTTAACATTCTGATTGTGAAGGATTAGCTTCATTAAAACGTTTTTCTGTGAATATACTTGGCCGAGAAGAGAAAACAGGCCATATGTATCAGGTTTGGGACAGTTTCTAAAACCTTCACAGCTCTGATTATTAAGAATCATTCGGCACGTAAAATTAACCTTGCAAAATGAAAACATAAATGTCTTTACTATGTCCTCTTTTCCAGTTCTCCTATAGTGCAAATGAAACCCTACAATTAAACTTATTCATAAGAACAGATAAGGTCAAGATTGACAGCAAACTGATGGGTAAGTATGAAATATGGGATTAAAGGGAGGTAAATTAGACCAGATGCAAATCCGTTCCTTTATAAATTTTGGAGTTATGAAGATAAGGATGTTACCTTTGCAGATTTTACTAGTCTTGGGAAAACAAGGCTGACAGAGCCAAAGTTATCAATACTAAACTCATGAATTAAATGCCGGTGGTTTTTATATTGAAGGCTGTTTTTAAAATGTTACCAGTATTTTCAATTTTGATTTTGCTCTGAAAAGCAATCCTAATAGTGAAGCTTCATACAGTGCTACTGTTAAAAAATACCTCAGTAGTTTGATTTGAAATGGCCATTTCCCTTCGCCACTCTCTGAAAGCTACAATGCACTTGCTCCCTCCGTGAGCAGAAAAATAATCTTTTGTACTGCCACTGCTATGGACTTCATCTGAAATCTGAACTTTAAACTGTGTCTCAGCTCCTGAGTGACAGGCTCTGCGGTCTTCATTTCTGCTGGCAATCTGCAATACACAGAAGCATTCCATGTGCTTTCACATTTTTACTTTATTCATGTATTTCTATGGCAGCAAAAGGTATATTAAGTAAGTGCTTTATAGCACAAATAAAGGCTTGGTCTCTGATAGAAGTTGCTTATTTCTTTATTTTTATTTCTTCCAACCTATAATGATAAAGCAATTATGTCTGTGAGCCTAGGCCACAGCAGAGCTGAGAAGGTCCATTAAAATCAGTGGAGCAGTATCTGGGAATTGGGACTGACCTTGCAGTTCTTTGGGTTGAAGCTTAAGGCATAATCTTGCAAAAACTGCCAGACAATGTGCTTGTTACTTATGTGATGAGTCAACATCAGGAGAACTAGCGTTACCCCCAAGTAATTTCCCCTGTGAATTAAATCTTCAGACCATATTTTTCCATCTGTACAATATTTAAATTGATTCCCTTTCTTAAAGTGGGTTTTTAGAAGGTTTTCCCTATGGCACTCTGTGCAGTGTTGAAAGCACTTAAGAGAGGATGTGGTGTGAATGTTTTGGGGGGGGGGTCATATTACAATCTCAGTGTCTTAATTTCCATTATAAAGGCTGTAGTATTTTAAATTGCAGAATTTTGACCAAATGTTAATATCATCTATTTCCCAGCCTGGAAAACAGAGTAGCTAAAAGTAGTAGCTGAATTACTAAAGAAAGGATATCATTCAGATCAAAATATGAAACTCTTGCAAAAACGAAAGGAAAAATTATCAATAAATGTCTCTTCTCTTTTTATTATAATTTTTTTTAAATCCAAATTCTCTCCTACTTTAAAATTTCCTTGTCATCTAAAGTCCAGAGCATAATGGTCTTTATGCATCTTGAAAGGAATTGACTTTGGGTGTGCAGGAGCTGCTGAGAAGCACATTTGAACTTGCCAGTAAAAGAAACCTTTCTTTGTATAAAACACTTAGTGAATACTAAGTTAAGATAGCGTTTTTACATCTCAAGCCATCAGGGGTTCTGAACAGTATGAAATCCAATATATCCCTTTTATCCTTTGTCCTTTTTATCAATGATTTCACAGCTGGTATCTCAAGGTGATGGATAAGAGTCTGAATCTAATGAGTGGCTTGCTGCTGGTACATTTAATGAGCTGATCAGTGAACAAGGGGAGTGTTTAATGCTTTAAGGCTCTAGCTTTCTGTATTACATTTATATGTCTGGATGTGAGGGACTTCAAGATGTTACAGTGTTAACGTTGTTTACCAAGGAACGGGATGAAAATCCCTGTCCACCCAATGAGGGATAGCAAAGTAATTCAGTAAGTGTATTCCCTTTGCTGTGCCAGGTGGCCATGTGGTGGTGTGGGTGAGTAATGCAGGATTTAGGAAGGCAAAATGAAGATTTGTTTAACAACATTACCTGTTCGCGTTCCCGTGCAGGAACAACCTATTCAAGTGCCGGAGCAGGAAAACGCTCTGGTTCTTGTGAAAGCAATTTGCAGCACAGAAGTGAGGATGCTTTTCCTGGCAGCTGCCTTCACTATCTCTTTTGTTCGTAAAAGAAAACAGTAACTCAGCAGGGCTGTCGTTTGGGTGCTTTTCCCTAGCACTACTGGCTTCACATCCAACATACAGAGTGAATAGTTAATACACAAACTGTTGAAAATATTATGTGGGTTATGTTTGTTACTTGCAGTAACTTGCCATGACTTATGTATATAAGGCAAATGATGCTGCTCCTACCTTGTGTTCATCGATTCCTTGTAAGGTCAAGATTGGAGCTGAATCAGGTGGACGCTTTTTCTCATTGATTATTGTTACAAGTGTCAAAGTCTCTCAGTTTTGCGTATGCCTCCAATGATGTCTCGACTGGTTTTGAGCTGGTAAAGCCAATTGAAATCAAGTGGATATGCTGATTGCATGTAAGAAGGGTTAAAATCTGGATCAGCCTTCACTTCTGTAAGAGAAAGGACAAAAACATGTTATTCTACTAAAGAGTGGGAAAAATGAATGTGGAGATTTTAAAATATGCAGCGCTTAGAGGAGAACTGCCCTTGAGAAGCTGTCCACTCCCATGCAAATGGCAGAGAGACTGTAGCCAAACTTTGGGCATCTGTAAGATTGTTCATGCCTAGCAGGGAAATAAGGACAGTGCTGAAAAACAATGGAAAAACAGTGTTCTCGTTTTATTTTTTCATGTTGGTAGGATTCTGACATGGTAGCCTCTTGGAATTAGATATCAAAAGCTACTGCTGCTGCTCTTATCTAGGGCAGCATCTAGGAGGATAGTCATTGAAATGTTAGTGACTTGAGGGTGGTTTTTCTGGTGTCCTTCCTAGAATCTTGCTCCGCCAAGAATAAGCGTTATCAGCCTGTGCCTTCTTGAAATAGGCATTTTTGATGGCCTTTGCCATATGCAGTCTCAAATGGATTATTCTAGTTTCTCTTCCACACCTCAGATCACATCTGTTTACCCCACTTTACTTACTGAATCTCACATTAAGGATGAACCTTTTTTGAAAAAAAAAAAAAAAAAACCATTAAAGTCACTAAGGGTACAGTTTCATGAGACTTAGTGAGCACGTAAAACAGCTCATCACCACGGGAAAAGGGAGGTGTTGATTCTCTGTCTTTTACTCCCCACTCCCATCTGTGAGCACATTTAACTCTTGAAAGAGCACAGGAGGAAACCTGCATAGTTTTCTGCTGCTCTAGTAAATTAAGTCGATTCACAAACAGACCCAACAAGTGCCAAACCTTGGCGACAGAGGGTGAGACTCTGTGTCCCCAAGGGCAGAGAGAAGCAGGGATGAAGGTAAGGAACAGAAAACAAGTGGGCAAGAACTTCTCCTTTTTATTATAATCAGCTCAGCTGCCTTAGGGAATCATAGCACTCATAGGCTGACGAGCTGAGTTATCTGTGCAACATGTGCACTTCCCCTAGAGAAATGTATGGCATCTTTTCAGCCTGTTCATTTTCTTCTGGGCTAGCTCTCGAGTGCATCTCCAAATGCTTCCTTGCAAATTCAGGCTTTCCTTATGGTGCTGACCTGCACAGCTACATCTCAAGGCTTGTGTTTGTTTGGGAAAATTAATTTTGTTCAGTGAGTCTGCATTGTTCTAGAAGACTAATGGGGGCCAAAATAAGCTTAGTGTCTAGGATAGTTAGCGCATGGTTCATCAACAATAGAGGCATGGCTGTCACAACAGATCTCTTGCTTCTGAAGAACTAGAATTAAACCACACTGCAGAAGGAATAAGGCATACAACTGGGTGGCAATTCAAGACAAAAGGGGAAACAAAAGCAAGAAAAAAAGTTGGCTTTATCCAGAGATAGAAGTAAAGACCTGGAGAAATGAAGAAGTTTTAATTTGGACAAAGGATAACATTTAATGAAGTGTTAATTCACTATTCTATTCGAGTTTTAGTGATGATTTTGAAAAGGCCCAAATGGTTGGCGGAGGTCCCATGCCAGCTGTTATCTGCCTGTAGTGGCACACGTGTGAGCGTTATACCCTTCCATGCAGACATTCCTGGCTTCTTTTTTGGTGCACCAGGAAGACCTGTTTATTTTTGAACTTGTCTTTGAGCAGATGCATAGTCAGGTTCATTGAGGATACTTGGACAAAAAACTTTATCTTTAAATGCTTTGACAAAGCCTGAGTGATAAAGGTGTATTTGGGTTCTACACAATAGTTTGTTCACAGTCTGCATATAGATGGTTTTGAAGTTTTCCTATATAGTCAGAAATACAGTTTTCTTCTAGCATCATTCAGGAGTTAAGTGCGTAGTGTGCATATTCTTCACAAGACGGAACTGAGCAGCAGGGAGGCTTTGTACATAGGATTAGTTTTCCTTCCAGTAATATACTGAATATCCTTCAAATGGAGGGAAATGTCTAAGCGCATTTACCATTCTTATTTCAGTGACTCTGTACAACTGCTCTTATGGACGAAGTGACTGCAGTTTATGCCTTGCGGCCGATCCTGACTACAAGTGTGTCTGGTGTGAAGAAGATGGCAAGCCAAGCAAGTGTGTTTATGAAAAACTCTGTCATGCTCCTCCTACTGACACATGTCCTCATCCAGAAATTACTCACGTAAGATTGCTTTTTTTTTTTTCCTTCCTCACAGAATATTATTTTTGAGGAGAAAGCATCTAAGAAAGCTCATCCTGAAAAGCAGTTTTTTTCCTAGGGTGTTAAGCAAGCCTCTAAATAGCTGCAAGGAAATAATGCCAGTAGTGATGTGTGTGAAAGGTTTGTAAAGACTCGTAATAAGAGACTGAATGGAGTCTTTGAGACTCCTTGTTCTGTAAGCCTTGTTCTCACTGTGCTCTAAGCCAGGCTAGCAGCGTATGCCTAAACACGGCACTTGATTCTTGGGAATTAGCACGGATTTTTTTCTGCCTTGAAATCTGTTCTACCTAAACGATGTCTATAAAAGAGGTTCACCACGTGTGGAGCTATGAGCCCTTAGCAGGCTTTCTGACAGGCTTCAAACTAGACCTTTACGTGGCACTTAATAAGGGAGCAGGTTGTTTCTGTGTCATGACTTGTTTTCCAGGGGTCAGTGATCTTTTTCCAGCCCATACTGGAACGAAATCCAAGGCCATAGAGGTTTCATGTAAGAAGTCAGAGAAAGAGAAAAATGCCAGATGTCCACCCTTACACAGCAATAGTGTGGCACATTCACCCAGGATGAGGGAAAAGCTTTGCTTTGCCTTAGTCAACCGGTAGCTGAAGCAAAAAGTAATAGATCCTGTTCTGCTTTCAGCAGTTACTTTTCAGCCGCAAGCCAACTGCTGGTTTTCTGGGCAGGGTGGTTATCTAGAAAGCAGTGATATGTACTACTATTGGGCCAGTCTAAATTACTGTAACAGTGTTGTAAGTACTTTGAAACTCAGGTACACAGTTTGATAAAAATGTATACCTAGCTATCAAAAAATGCAATAGCTCTGTGGCACAGGCTGAGAACCATAACAGGGATATATTTCACTCAAATAAGATAGGACCAGTTTGATTCTGAAATCTATGGCTCAAACTGGCAGAGACACGAAGAGTCTCCTGAGGCTGCGCAGTTAAGAGTTGCAGTGTGGGTACCGCCAAAATGGCAGTAGGGTGTATGAAACTGGCCGTGATGGTGTGTTTAAGAAGAAATGGCAGGTAAACATTTGAAGTCTGCTGAGGAAGGCAGATATCCTGAAATCTTGACAGAACATATGGAGAAAAATACTTGTATAATGCCTCTGCCATAATAAAGATGGTTTGAAGGAGGAAGAAAAGGAGAACAAAGAAAATGAAGAGTATTTTCACCCTGTGATACTATTTGCACATAGTTGTGGATTAAACAGTTAACACCAGAAGTGTTCCGATATGTTTTTTTTCAAAGCATTTATTAGTTTCAAATTGGCACAAAATAATTTGGGAACACAAACTGTTTAGTCATTTTTCAGCTAGTTTATTCATGGGTTCCGTGCAAAGGAATGGTCAGTGGGTAAAGGTGTGGCTTTGGAAATTTGAAAGCATGGGAGAATATCAGAACAAGTGACTCTGGGGCTGGATTGGACTGCAAGCAGCAACAGCCACGCTTCTGTGCTCAGGCTTGCTTACCACTTAGTTCTAACAAACCCAGCAGATGTTAAAGTCCAGATTTTCAGAAGTTGCGTTTGCTTGGCTTCTAGCACTTGGAGCTATGCTGTCTCCCTTTCCCTGAAAATAAACTTAGAGCCCTGTAAAGTTGAACATCTGAGAAGGTCTTGCTGGAGCTACTCCCTGTATTATATTGGCAAAGCAGGTCACTCTCCCAGCAAACGTTCAGACTCCTACTGCTTGTTCAGGCCATCCGTTAACCTGAGAAGTCCACTGCCGCCACAGGATTTCTTCAGTCCACATTTTAATCACAAATTATTTAACAGGCATCTGTCCGTGGAACGCAGCATCCTACTGTTTGATGCAGTAAGGAAGACCAGGGGACTAAAGAGACTTCTGCAGAAACCGCTGGAGGCACACTTTGTGCTTGGAAGGCGTGCTGTTCCGATATGAACCCAAAGGGGGAAAGCCATAGGGGGGCAGAAAAAACAACAGCAACGACTGAAAATAAGGCTAGAAATGCTCAGTGGAATGATTATTGGGGGAGCCCGTTCCATGTGCTTTTCAAAATCACAGTGCTTTAAGGGATGAAGAAAATTTAAGATAGAGTAAACACGAGGCAAGGACTTTGTACATAAATGTCTGCACAGGGTTTTGTTGGAATTATGTACTGTGTGTTTAGGTTGGAGACAAGAAATCTGCAGCTGAATAATAAGGGCTCTGAGCTAATAAATAACTAACAGCATTAATAAGTTACATAGCATGTATTTATGCATGTATTTATGGGTCCTACAAGAAACTTCTTTTTCATTTTAAGTGCTAGTAGGTCAAAGTAGCTTTAAATAATATAGTCGCTGTACTATTTAAATGTGGTTTTTTTATTTTCCTCTCATGCCAACACAGATTGAGCCAAAAACTGGACCACTAAGTGGCGGAATTCTTTTGACCATAATGGGATCTAATCTGGGTATAAAAGCA